TCTACGGACTCGTCCGAAGGTGGAGCTGAGAGCGAGTGACCTGTAGCCAGAGGAGTGGCCTGTGCCGAGGACCAGGTGAAGCGGAAGCGCTGAAGGACCTGCTGCACCATGTGTGACTGAGTCAGTGTGATGGTGCGGCGTGCTCTGTCCCGGGTGATCTGCAAGCCAAGGTAATTGCGCAGCTCACCCAGGTCTGTGCACGTGTGTCTCTTCTGCAGCTCCGACTTCACCAGGGCGAGAGCCTCAGTGTCAGCAGTGGCAAAGACCAAGTCGTCGACGTACACGAGGATGTAGAACGGCGGCAGCGAAGTGTCGGTGTGCAGAAACAGCGGCGTGTCAGCAGTGGAAGGTGCAAACCCAAGAGCCGCAAGTGTCGTCCTCAGTGTGTCGTGCGACTCACGTGGTGCCTGGCGGAGACCGTAGACCGGCCGCCGGAGGCTCCACTGGGTACCAGGAGGGAACGACCCAGTGAAGTCAGGTGGGCGGCGCAGCCAGATCACCTCGTGCAGGCTGCCCTGTAAGAAAGCTGTGCTGAAGTCAAGAGAGTGAAGCTCGTAGTCACGCTGAGCGGCAACGTGCAGCAGCACCCGAAGAGTGGTCATCTTCGGGGTGGGGGAGAAGGTCTGGAAGAAGTCAACTCCCTCTCGCTGACTGAAACCTCGAGCAACGTAACGAGCCTTGAAGACAGGCGGAGAACCTGGCGGCCGCTTCACCCTGAAAATCCACATGCCATCGACGATGTTCGCCCCAGGAGGGGGAACCTCGTCAACGTAAGTGCCTGTGGACTTCCAGGATGCCATCTCTGCGTCCATGGCTGTCTGCCACTGAGAGGAGTACTCACCCGTGATCGCCTCAGCGTAAGAGCGCGGGGTCGGGATGTCTGGAGCATCCGGGTCTCCCGCAGGGGCAAGTAGCATGGCCACGAGATGAGGCGCAACGGCTGCAAGACACTCAAGGTCCTCCTGCCTGTCCTCAAGGACGTCCGTGCTAAGAGCACACTCACCCCCGACGGACGGAGGACAGACAGACTCAGACTCAGCAACAAGACTAGCGGCGTAGTCTTGACGACAGGCAGCAGCAAAGTCAACAAGCTCAGCGACGAAGGCAGACGCAGCAGCAGACTCAAACGACGGGTCAGTGACAACAGTGGCTAGAAGACGTGTGACAGTAGGGTGCTCAGCACGAAACCGGTCAGACTCAGGGTCAGCAACGACAGGCAGAGAAGACGCAGGAGGAGACGGCAGAGGAACACGCTGTGGAGCAGAGGACGGACGCAGAGCCATGAGGTGTGTGCCGGGGACAGCCGGCGGACGCGGACGAGGAACACGACGACTAGTGCGGACAGGCGAGACAGGACGCGACGCAGGCTCACGACGCTCAGCAAGACCTCTGGCTACTCAGTGTAAGGAGAAGGAGCAGGTAGCGGTGAGCCAGGCTGTAACGGAAGACCAGTAGACGACGGGAGGCTAAGAACCTGGTGAAGCACGGAGTCAGGCGGTGGCAGAGACGACGGAGACGGCGGAGCAAAGAACAGTCGTGGCTGCGCAGCGCCACCAGCACTAGCAGCTCCAGCACCACCAGCAGCTCTAGAACCTCCAGCTCCAGCGCCTCCAGCAGCAGCACCTCCAGCTCCAGCGACTCCAGCAGCAGCACCTCAAGCTCCAGCGCCTCCAGCAGCAGTACCTCCAGCTCCAGGGACTCCAGCAGCAGTACCTCCAGCTCCAGCGCCTCCAGCAGCTCCAGAACCTCCAGCTCCAGCGCCACCAGTAGCAGCACCCCCATAACCGGCACCTCCAGCCTCACGGTCCCCAACTCCAGGGTCGACAGGACCAGCGCCAGGGCCTCCAGCAGCAGCACCCCCAGAAACGGCACCTCCAGCTCCAGGGTCTCCAACTCCAGGGTCGACAGCACCAGCTCCAGGGCCTCCAGCCCCAGTACCTCCAGCAGCACCCCCAGAGCCGACACCTCCAGCTCCAGGAGCAGGTGCAGTCCCGGCAGCTCCAGTACCTCCAGTACGAGCACCTCCAGGACCAGAGACAACAGCACTCCTAGCGCCTCCACGACAAGCAGCTCCAGCAGCACGACTCCTCAGGCGGGTACGCGACGCAAGCCACTCTCGTGCCTGCTGTGGTGAGACAGGCCCGCGTCGTGAAACGAGACCCAGAGGAACGCCAGCAGACTCAGCACCCCCAGCTCCAGGGTCGACAGACCAGCTCTAGGGCCTCCAGCCCCAGTACCTCCAGCCGCAGCACCCCCAGAACCAGCACCTCCAGCTCCAGGGTCTCCAACTCCAGGGTCGACAGCACCAGCTCCAGGGCCTCCAGCCCCAGTACCTCCAGCAGCAGCACCCCCGGAACTGACACCTCCAGCTCCAGGAGCAGCACTAGTCCCGACAGCTCCAGTACCTCCAGTACGAGCACCTCCAGGACCAGAGACACCAGCACTCCCAGCGCCTCCACGACAAGCAGCTCCAGCAGCACGACTCCGCAGGCGAGTACGCGACGCAAGCCACTCTCGTGCCTGCTGTGGTGAGACAGGCCCGCGTCGTGAAACGAGACCCAAAGGAACGCCAGCAGACTCAGCACCCCTAGGCTCCGCACCCCCCGGCACCTCACGGACGGGCTCAGCACCCCCAGACTCCGCAGCCGCAGGCTCAGCACCCCCAGGCTCCGCACTCCCCAGCACCTCACGCGCAGGCTCAGCACCCTCAGAAGCAGCACCCCCAGCAGTACCTCCCGCAGCAGCACCTGAGTCGCTAGTGACCTCTACAGGCTCAGCCAAGGGGGGCGGGTCTACCTGAGACACACCTGAAGGAGCAGGACCCTGAGGCGGGAGGGGGTCTACCGGAGGGGGACCTGGAGCGAGGAAAAGCGACGGGGGAGGGAGAGGGGCAGTGCGGTAAGGGAAGAGACGGTAGAAAGGAACCGACTCGTCAAAGGTGACGTCCTGAGAGGGGAAGACACGGCGCGAGGTGGGTTGGTAAAACTGCCAACCAGACGCGTCAGGGACAAAGCCAAGGAAGACACAGGGAATGGTGCGGGAGGAGAGCTTGTCCGCAGACGTATCACGGACAAGGGCACGAGCACCTCAGACCCGGAAACGCGACGCATCGCCAACCTCCTCCGTCCAACGCAGTGTGGGCGAGGTCTCTGGTAAGGAGACACGGGGCCAGAGGTTGAGCTGCTGCGTAGCGTACCAGACCGCAAACGGCCACAGAAAATGGGGAGCCGCCGCATGAATCAAGGAGGTACGAGCGACCTCCTTGACTAAGCCAATGCGGCGCTCAGCAACCCCATTTTGCTGTGGTGAGCCCGGAAGCGTGAACGACTGCTCGATGCCCTCCCCCTGACAGAAGGCCCGCAAGAGGTCGGAGGTGAACTCACCACCTCTGTCAGAGTGCAGACGCAGGACAGGAAGGTCCTGGCGGAACCTGCGGCAGAGCCGGAGACGAACTGCTCGGATCCAAGGGATCAGGGTAGCAGGGACCTCACCCTTGGTGCGCAAGGGGAAGACCGTGGTGTACCGCGAGTAGTCGTCGACAACCAGCAGAAAGTACTGCTCACCGCCCTATCCACGAACGCGGGCTGGGCCCCACACGTCCAGGTGGAGGGTCTGCAGAGGAGCCTCTGTCGGGGGAAACGAGGAGGAGTGAGGAGCGGCGCGCTGCCGGCCCTCGACGCAAGGAAGGCAGGGCGGCGCAGGCGAGGCAGGGAGGGGAGGGAGAGACCTGGGAAGACCAGACACAAGGAGGCGACGGTGCATGCCACGTAGACGTGGCAAGGAGGGGTGACCAAGACGGTGGTGCCAGAGAAGAGTCTGGTGCGACAGGGAGCGACACTCACAAGGGGAGGCTACCTGACCTGACGCAGACATCTGACCAGTAGCAGCTACCTGAGGAGGCGCAGTCGTCAGTGTGTAAAGACTCGACCCTGGCCGACGGTGGCGGCCGGTCCGGGAGCACGTACAGATCACCACACGCTGTCCTCCAGGGGTAAAGGTGTCAACCCACTGGTCCTGGAGAACTGCGTTGCTCACCAAATTCGTAGAGAACGAGGGGAGGTGGAAGCCTGTCAGTGAGCCAAACGGAAGCGCCGGGCACGGAAGCACAGTGGTGGACCATGCAAGAACTGGGCCCCCTGAGGGGTCAGCCAGAGAGACTGCAACAGGTGCAGTGAGTGGTGTGAGTGCAGTACTGTCACGGAAGAAGCAGCGGGAAGCACCTGAGTCAAGCGTGAAGGTGTGCAAGGCCCCAGCTGGCGCAGTACCTGAGGAAGCAGACTCGCTAGCACCTAAGGCAGCAGCCTGACTAGCACCTAGAGTAGCAACCTCTATACCGGGGTCGTACTGCATACACAGGTGACAGTCACTCTCAGCACCACCAGGCAAAGCAGACATGGCAGTAAGGATGGCGTCATAGTCTAAAGCAAAGACAGCAACGCCCGACCTAAGCAGCTCAAGCCAGGGGGGGATCTCAGCCTCGTCGCCAAACTCTGTGCGCCAGGCGTCAGTCAAATAGGCGAAGCAGCGGGACTGTGCGTGACCAGGTGTCCGACAGGTCTCACCAGCTCGACGACCTGTGCGAATAACGTACTGGCAGCGACCCGGACTCGGAGACGGCCCACGCTGGTAAAACCACTCACGAAGCTGCCGGGTCGTAAGGGTCGGACGCCGCCGTAGCTGCATCTGGCCACCGCTAGACACTCCGCACCAAACAGCGCCACAGTGACCGCTACTACGGCCGCCACCACTCCCACTGCTGCCACCACCGCCGTCACCACTCCCACCGGTACGACAAAGGGAAGTCATGGCGGGCAAGCTAGGAGGAGCGCGACCTCTAGGGCAGTACGGAGTGAAGGCAGTAGCACGAGTGGCAGTAGCACGAGTAGCAGCAGCAGCAGTAAGAGCAGCAGGGCGGCGCGCGGCCACAGCAGGGCAGCAGCAGGGAATAGCTCCTAGGGCAGAAGCACCTAGGGCCTTTTTTTTTTAATAATTATTTAATTTTATTTAGGGTTTAGCAGGGCGCTGGCGCAGCGCAGGGCGCTGGCGCAGGGCAGGGCGCGGGCGCAGGGCAGGGCGCGGGCGCAGGGCAGGGCGCTGGCGCAGGGCAGGGCGCCAGCGCGCGCAGGGCAGGGCGCTGGCGCAGGCTGCAGCAGCGCGTGACGCGAGGGGCAGCAGAGCGCGACACGACGGGCTGCCTGAGAGCGCGACGCGCGGGCTGCAGCAGAGCGCGACGCGTCAGGCAGCAGCGCGCGACTCGTGGGCTGCCTTAGGGTGCGACGCGCGGGCTGCAGCAGAGCGCTACGCGCGGGGCAGCAGCGCGCGACGGGCAGGCTGCCGTAGGGCGCGACGCGCAGGGCCGCAGCACGGGCGTAGGGCAGGGCGCAGGCGCAGGGCAGGGCGCAGGCGCAGGGCAGGGCGCTGGCGCAGGGCAGGGCGCTGGCGCAGGGCAGGGCGCTGGCGCAGGGCAGGGCGCTGGCGCAGGGCAGGGCGCTGGCGCAGGGCAGGGCGCTGGCGCAGGGCAGGGCGCTGGCGCAGGGCAGGGCGCTGGCGCAGGGCAGGGCGCTGGCGCAGGGCAGGGCGCTGGCGCAGGGCAGGGCGCTGGCGCAGGGCAGGGCGCTGGCGCAGGGTAGGGCGCTGGCGCAGGGCAGGGCGCTGGCGCAGGGCAGGGCGCCGGCGCAGGGCAGGGCGCCGGCGCAGGGCAGGGCGCCGGCGCAGGGCAGGGCGCCGGCGCAGGGCAGGGCGCCGGCGCAGGGCAGGGCGCCGGCGCAGGGCAGGGCGCCGGCGCAGGGCAGGGCGCTGGCGCAGGGCAGGGCGCTGGCGCAGGGCAGGGCGCTGGCGCAGGGCAGGGCGCTGGCGCAGGGCAGGGCGCTGGCGCAGGGCAGGGCGCTGGCGCAGGGCAGGGCGCTGGCGCAGGGCAGGGCGCTGGCGCAGGGCAGGGCGCTGGCGCAGGGCAGGGCGCTGGCGCAGGGCAGGGCGCTGGCGCAGGGCAGGGCGCTGGCACAGGGCAGGGCGCCAGCGCAGGGCAGGGCGCCAGCGCAGGGCAGGGCGCCAGCGCAGGGCAGGGCGCTGGCGCAGGGCAGGGCGCTGGCGCAGGGCAGGGCGCTGGCGCAGGGTGACGCCAGGCAGGGCAGGGCAAGGCATGCGCTAGGCAGCGCGACACGGGGCAAGGCAGGGCGTGCGCGGGGCAGCGCGGCGCAGGGTAGTGGGGTAACGCGGTAACCGCAGTCGGAAGCTAAGTTTGGTGGGCCCGAAAAAAAAAAACGGTCCTACGGACCTACTGCTCTGAAACCATGTCAAGATAGCAAGCAGGAATTTTGCATTGAATGAAATGTGGGTACAAGTACTAACCCTAACTTAGGGTTTTACCCCATATGGGCTACCCCACTATAGCCTACACAGAACTAACACATATATAGTTTGACACCTTTTGGGGTGAAAACATTATAAGACCCCCCCCCCCCCAACTTTGAGAGAGTTTTTTTTAGGCAAATTCATGTGAAAATAGCAAGCAGTTGTTGGAAACAAGTAACTTAAGCGCCTCTGTCGTGTCGAAACAATAAGATTATAAGCGAAGCAAAACATATCGAAGCATTGGCGAGTCAACCCTCGGAGGTTGAACAACCGCTGGAGGTTACGCGAAAGTCAAAGGTCAGCGACCTTTGACCTGACAAGTACAGCGCGACAGCAAGGACAAACAACTGACTCGTTATTGAGCAGTTGCCCGAGTCGTCACTGTATCGAACCGCAACAGCAACAGCAAAACAGTTATTAGTTATAAACCCTTCATATTCCCTTGTACTCTTATAAAAGCTTGTATCTCTTTGTTTTGATCAATCTACTTTGCCCTCACATACCAGCGCAAGGTGGTTCACGAACTTCTCATTAAAACGCTTCCGCTATTACATTGCTCTACTCAGAGTTTAGTCCTGCAAAGATCCTAAGGGCTTTTCTCAGCCCAACAGTAGTGGCACATCTACGGCCTCTGGAGTCACAAATCACAAATAATGCAGCATCTCAACACCCAACTAGCTCCACTATTCACCCACCACCTTGGAATCCGCCCCCACCTTGTTACTCATCTTCGTCACCCGTCACCCACTCCTCTACCTTTGCCCCCTCATAGCGACCAGGGGCCCACCACTCATCCCCTTCGTCGCTCCACTCGTCAGCTTCGCCCGCCTCTCCATCGTCGGACTCGCTCGAGTCTGACTTAGCAGGTACAGCCTCCGCATCGGCTTCGTCAGCTTCAGCGGCCAGCACGGCCTCCTCCTCCATCTCGACGGTCACATCGGGAGGGGTGACCACGGGGGCCGGGTAGAACGGGTTGGGGAGCAATTCATCCTGCTCCTCCTCCATCACGTCCTCCAGGACCTCCACCTCGCCGGAATCCCGCATGTGCGCCAGGATCAGATGATCCTCGCTCCCGTCCGCGGCGTTGGAGATTCCGCAGGTGAGGAATGCTTTCCTCACCATCTCCTCGGGAACGTCGGCCCACGACTCGTCAATCCATTTCAGGACGAGTTCAGCCGGCGGTTTCTTCAGATTGCCTGCGGGTGAGGGCGGAGGGAATGGGAGTGGAGTGTGTATGGTTGTGTGATTCATCAGTTCATACACATACAAACGCGGGCATCTCCTCGTACACGGCCTCACCTGCGGGCGTTGTGTTGGTGATCCCGTCCTCCTCGAACCAGTTGCCGTAACGGTGGCGGACGCCCGCCTTGAAGGCGCGGTTGATTGACACATCTAGCGGTTGCACAAGCGGTGTGCAACCGCCTGGGATCACCGCGCGTGTCATCCTAAAGAGACGCATAGTCTGGCCGACACCTTCGGTGAGATGTCCTCTGTAGGAGTCTAGGACGAGGAGGACATCCTTCCGCCTGCCTCCCTCGTCGCGCAGGGGCCTCATGAAGGGGACGAGGACTTGGGTAGTCCAGTCCTGGACGAGGTTTTCGTCCATCCATCCCCGTGACTGCGCCCGGATCACGACACCTGCACAGGCACGTAGCTTGTTAGTCGTATGCAAGAGGGTACGTGAAACATGCGCAACGGCCGTATCGACTCACCTCGGGGAACGGCGACCTTCGGGACTGTCTTGCGCTTGAACACCACATACGGCGGCAATTTCAAGCCGCTTGCCGTCACCGCCAGCATAACGGTGAGGCGTTCCTTCTCGTAACCCGCGGTACGGACGTGCACCGTGCGCGCCCCCTTTATCTCCAATGTCCGTTCCTGTGGCATCTCCAAGAAGAGGGGCGTTTGATTGGCGTTAACGATCAAATTGTCGGGGTAGGAGTTAAGGACTTGCATCTGCCGAACAAACTCCCAGAAGGATTCGACCTTCACCTTCAAATCTGCAAGGAGAGAGTTGACAGAAATTGTTAGTCGAGGAACATCAAGGATTACACACACGACACATGAAGGAGGCCGGGGGAAAAAAAAAACAACACAACAGCAAAGAGACTCACTGTCTGCAAGCTTTTGCCCCATCTTTGTCTTGACACGCTTCGCCAAGGACCACCACACGCGGAAGCGGAAGGTCCAACGGTTAGATCCGCGCCAGTCGGCCTGAGGGTGCCGGTGCTTCATGTACTGCCGCGACCACTTCTGAAGCATGCTCACTGAGACGGCCAGACCCTTGGCACGGTGCGCCAAGAACTGCCGGTAGACGGCCCTCTCCATGAAAGGCCACTTTGCCTTACGGCCTGCGCCAACGAGGCGACGACGACAAGCCGCTGAAACAAGGAGGCGCTCCTTCAACTTCCGCCATTCGCGAATCTGCTTCGGTTGCACGTTAGCCAGCCTCGCCAACCCCCGGATGCTGAGATCGGGCTGCGTGTCTAGCATATCCAGCCAGTACAGTTTCTCCCTCGCCGTGTACGCATGCCGCGCCTTCTTCGTCATTCGGTGGCCAGGTGAGGGGGGCGCTGCATCCTGAACCTTTTTCTTCTTGCCTTGTGGGCGAGAAGACTGCGGAAAGACGGGGACACAGACCGTGGGAAGGGGGGCCCGTGGGGTACGGCTGCTCTGAGAAGTCTCACTTGAAGACGATACTGGCGTGGGCAGGACAGGACGCGGCGTCGTCCTAACACGAGCAGGCGTACGGACTGGTGTTGCACGAGGGCGGCGCCTGAATCGGGCGATGTCACCATAGTGAGGCGATGTTTCTGCCTCATCCGATGCCTCCCTATCATCTAGCAACGCTATTTTAATCTGCCTTGTACGACCCGCTATCCTAGACCCTGCCGAGCTACTCTCCCCATTGCACAGAGGTGGGTCCGTTGGCAGGCGTTGTCAAATTCGCTTCTGCACTAGACGTGACAACGACAGCGCGACTCTGTGGAGAGAGTTTCACGTAGCATGCAAGGGATGAGACGACCGAGACGGTCTGACACAATGCATTGGACGTGGTACACGTTGGTCGCCTTCCAATCGATAATGCTGGTAACCACTGAAAATGGGCCAATGAGCATGAAGCATTGTGATGCTTCATGGATTGTACCTGTTTTCTCGGCTCAGGACATTCGCGTGCTGTTTCCTCGATTTAAAAACGCAGTTCTGCATTACAACGCCCTTGCATTTCATTATATTTTAAAAATCATAGCACTTATGTTAAGACCCGGGTCTTATAGGTTTTTTACAATTTAATAAGACCCCCCACAGAAATTTGTGAATTCAATAACAGCCCCTAGGGTCTTTTATCCGGGGGAATACGGTATTCTCCCGGATAAAACACCCCCCCGTAATTGTACACCCCCGGGTAGCTAATACGGGGTGGGTGTTATATCCGACCCCGTTAGTACTATACCCCCCCTTTTGGGGTGATTCTCTATAACACCCCCTTTTTCTTATAGATTCCTATTATAGCTGTTATTGAGTCAGATTCCTTATGGGGGGATATCGCGAGAATTGCTCCCTAGATGAAATTTCGCGTGTACTTTCACTTACCGTAGAATCTGCCGAGATTTCCCCCCTCCCACAATCTCGCTGTCGCCACGCAAGCGAATCTTCCGCTGCAAGTGGCCCAAGAGGTGAAAATCACCTTCTCACATGAGGCATAGGCACGTGACCAAACCAGTCAGGAACTGACTGGTACAGTAACAACGCACCACCGTGCGCGATTCCGGCCTCGGCGGTTGCATGAACCCTCGCCACGCAATTGGCTTTGTTTTCACCCTATCAAGTGCCAGAATTGCCCACTGGAATTTGCCACGTGGCAGATTCCAGTGGGCAGTCACGTTATCCTCGTATACTCGGTTTTTTGGCACTGATCAACAATCTTGAAGTGAAGTCAGACCACCTGATTTTGTTTCACATCTTTTCTGCTTGATAAAAAATATACCATATAATAAGTCCCGGGTATTATGCAGGATTTTCCTTTGAGGAGACCCCCCCCCCCCCCCCCCCCATTTTTTCCCAGTGGTTTTCATAATACCCTAGGGTGTTTTATCCGGGAGAATACGGTACCCTACCGTATTTGGATTGAATGAACCCTCCATTTTGAGATTGTCGCGTCCACCATCGGAGATGAGGTTCATTTACATGGGCATCACATTCCTTCCTTGTACCCAACACTGTAACCAGTCCGGTCCGGACTGACTGTCACATCATTGCAACATTCTATGAGCAACCACTGGCTGGGAGAGCAGCGCATGCAGTTAACTACAGCTTCACTAGCGTGCTTGATGTTGGAGGAGAGCTTGACCTAGCAGATAAAATGGAGGCAGATGCGAGCTGCCATGTGCTTATTCACTCTGGGGAGAGATTCCGCAATTTTGAGGCAGCACTTTGACCGCACGAGATGGCAGAGGAACAACTAGCTGCCTTGAGAGACCAGATGCTTCCATGTCCCATGCTCCTGGCTCGTGTCGCTCTCTCCGCTGCCCCACGGTGCGGCACAGCAGGGAGCGCACTGACGCAACTTGTGGAGCGTGAGAGAAACTTGTGGGGGGGCAACAGTGGAACGTCAGGGGCACTAGTGCAGGTGATGGGTGGTCGTCAGTGGAACTTGTGCGAGGCGATGAGGTTCTTGAGCACGTTGTTGGGCGTCAGGCACGTGTGGGGGAGGGGCTGCCCCGTGGCGGGGGAGAGCGATGAGGAGCCCATCCACGTGGTGATGTGCTGCCGCTCATATGTGAAGCCGTCCGCCGCCACAACCGGGTCCTTCATTATCTCCTGCTCCATGCCCATGCCCATGCCCATGCCCATGCCCATGCCCATGCCCATGCCCATGCCCATGCCCATGCCCATGACCATGACCATGCCCATGCCCATGCCCATGCCCATGCCCATGACCATGACCATGCCCATGCCCATGCCCATGCCCATGCCCATGCACGCACGCCCGCATGCCCGCATAACACATACATCCGTACTACCACACACCCATGCCCACACAAACACCCATGCCCACACAAACACCCATGCCCACACAAACACCCATGCACACACCCAACCATGCCCAGAGCACATGGAGACAGACAGGGACATTGACATTGGAACAAAAGACAAGCCACGCACACGCACACGCTTTGCCTGCCACTGAACGGCAGATGAACCGTGCGAATACCAATCCAACAAACCTGTGCCCCAGGGGATACGCACCGTGGAGATGGGGCAGATGAACTGCGAGTCGCACCTTGGAGATGGGGCAGATGAATTGCGAGTCGATACGCTTCTTGCGCCGGCGCTCCTCCGCGCTGGCCTCGGCCGCCACGCGCACGAGCGTGGGGTGGATCTCCTCCGCCAGGTCCGGCCGGTTCTCCCTCCGCCGCTCAGCGCAGCGCAGTGCCAGCGCCGCCACCTGCTCCGCCAGGTCCAGCCGCCAGTCGCCCGCCGCCGTGTCCAGGTACTGCAGCACCATCTCCGCACCCGCCGCCGCCCGGTGCTGCCCGGGCCTGGCGGGGCGGGCGGTGCAGTCGGCGAGCATGCGGTGAACGGCCTTGACGCTGCGCTGCCCCGTGAGCAGCTGCAGCAGGATGAGCCCCAGCGCGTAGATGTCAGAGAGCACGCTGATCTCACACGTCTCCACCTCCTCGGGGTCGATGTACCCCGCCGTGCCGCGCACCTTCATGGTCATGACGTCATCGGCGCACAGCAGGCGCGCCAGCCCCACGTCCCCGATCTTGCTCATCATGTGCCCGTCCAGCAGGATGTTGTCGGGCTTTAAGTCGCGGTGCACGATGGGCGGCTCGTTCTGGTGCAGGTACAGCAGCGCTGACGAGATCTCCGAGAAGATTCTCAGCCGGTCCACCCACGACAGAGGCACGGCGTCGGGCGTCTTTGGCGGGCCGAGCTTGTCCTGTAGCGTGCCGCCCGAGAGGAACTCGTAGATGAGGGCCATTTCCTCGACGCAGCAGCCCATGAGCAGCACGATGTTGGGGTGGCGCATGCGCGACAGCACCTCCACCTCCATGCGGAACTCGTCCGGCCCCTGCCACCCCTGCCCCTCCAGCCGCTTCACCGCCACCTTGCACCCCAGCATCTCGCCCTTGAACACGTACCCAAACGACCCGCGCCCCAGCAGGTTCTCCCGTGCGTACCCGCGAGTGGCCTTCTCCAGCTGCTTGGGTGTGAAGAGCCGGCAGTCGAACCCGTCGCCGCCCGCCCCCAGCCCGCGCAGGTCGATCTGCCCCATGCTGTGCGCCCCCGCGTTCTGTGCACTGCTCCCGCCGCCCGTGCTGAAGCCGCCCGCGACGGGCGGCAGCAGTGAGGAGACGGCGGCGGAGGCGGCGGGGCGGGAGGAGGAGAAGCGTGAGGAGAAGCGGTTGCTGGGCGCGCCCCCCACCTGTCCCGGCGGCTCCATCTCCGCCACCATCCTCCCTGCCTCCGCCCCTGCCGCCCCCGCCTGTGCTGCATCTGCGGGCAGCAGTGTGGAGGCGGGTGAGTCGGCGGAGAGCATGGTCTGCGGGCCACTGAGCTGCAGCGCGCGCAGCTGCTGTGAGAGGAAGCGCTGCTCGCAGCAGCGGTCATACAGGGAGAGAGAGCGAGGGGTTGGGGCGCGGTGGGGCAAATGGGAGAGGTAAGAAGATTCGCAGGGAATGGCAATGAAACTGGAAAACGATACAGAAGTACAAAAAGCGAGGTGACATGGAGTGTTGAGTGTACGGGTGCGGTGACATGACCGACCTCTGACTTGTTGTCATTGCCACGTGCGTCCGCACCCGCCTCTGCTGCTCTATTGCTGCTCACGGCTTTGCCCTCCCACCGCTCCTCCCCGCCCCCAGTGGCCTCCTCCTCCTCATCCAGCAGCGCCAGCTCGTCCGCCAGCAGCGACCGCATGCCCCCCCCGCCCCCACCCCCGCCCCCGCCCCCGCCCCCACCTGCACCGCCGTTGCCCTCCATCTCCCTGCCCGCCCCGGCCTCCCCCATGTGCGCGCCCCCCTCACCCCCTTGCCGGCCCGCAGCAGCAGCGCCGTGCGGCGCCACGCAGAAGGCCACGCGACGCCCGCCGGGGCTGTCGCGGCCGGCGTGGAGGGGAGGGGCGAGGCGGCCGGTGGACGCGGGGGACGCCGTGGAGAAGGCGAGCGCGGCAGCGGCGGCGGCGGCAGCAGCGGCGTCCAGCGGCATGGCGCTGGCGCTGCTCGACCGCAGTGCCTCCCGCAGCCCCCCCTTGCCCACCACGCCGCCCACTGCGTCCCTGCCCGTCACGCGTGTGGGCGGCAGGCCCGGCTTGTGGCGGGCGGCGTCGGAGAGGCTGCGGTGGTAGTCGTTCTCGTCCATGGGGGAGGCGGACGACAGGTGGGACGGGGCGGGCGAGGGCAGCAGTGAGTGGTGGTGCGCGTGGTGGTGGTGCGCGTGGTGGTGGTGGTGCATGGCGAGAGTCTCCGCAATGGCTGCTGCTGCGACACCAGGGGGGCAGTAGTCAGCAGAGAGGGTGGGGACCTCCATGGAGGAGAGGGCGGAGGCGGCGAGTGACGTGTGCCCCGTGGACGCGTCCACCGGCATCATGGCCCTCAGACTCGCCAGCCGCTCCTCCTGTGCATCCCGTGCCATGCCATGCCATGCCACGCCATGCCATGCCCCACACACCACATGCCACATTCCCACGGAAAAGAGAAGAAAGAGCGGGAGAGTTGAGGGGCGCGGAGGCAGGGGGGAAGCGCAGGTGAGCAGGGCGGGTTTGATGTGAGGGGAGAGCGGCGGCAGCATCGAGGAACAAGACGCCCAGGGGCATGCTGCGGCCACACAGCATGGGATGGAGAGGAGTGCACGTAAGCAGAGAGGGCGCTGATAGCGGGGAGAGGGGGTGCACCTGCAGAGAGGAGAGCGCGGAGGCGTTGAGCTCCCCTGGGAACGCCGTGCTGCCGCTGCTGCTGCCCGGCCTGCCCGGCGCCTCACTGCTGCCCTCCACAGACGAGTAAATCACCCCCGGCCGCAGCTGCTCCGCCCCTACGCCCACCGCCTTCCCCCCGTTCCCCACACACGCCCCACCTCCCCCGCACTCCCCCGCGCACAGGGGTGGCGGCGCATCACACGCGCCCGCTGCAGCGCCCCCTGCACCCGCCAAGGCAACCGCAGGGAAGCCGCCGCTGTGGCTGCCCGTCCCTGCTAACCTGGCGCCTCCGCCTGCCCCTGCTCCCATCCCCGGCCCCAGCCCCGCCCCTCCCACGCCCCCGCGCGGCACCATGGGCGACGCGCCCTGCGACCATGCTTCCCGCACGGCGCCCGGCCCTGCAGGCGAGGCGGAATTCAGCGCGACCTGCGCGGGGGAGAAGCGCGCGCTGGACGAGCGCGCGTGCTGCGGCGACAGCAGCGCGTGCGCGCCCTCCACGTGCGACAGCGACGGCGACGCGCGGTGCCCTGCGCCCCCCGCCGCGCCTGCTCTCGTGCCCACGCCTGCTGCCACGGCCATGGCGAGCGCCCCAGGCGCGTGGAGCGAGGGCGCGTTGAGGTGCGGATTGGGGTGCTGCGCGGAGAGGTGCGGATTGGGGTGCTGCGCGGAGAGGTGCTCTGAGTCGGGCGTGGCGGAGCCTGACAGCGGGCCGGCGGAGGCGGGGGCGGCGGAGGCGGGGGCGGCGGAGGCGGGGGCGGTGGGAGCGTTGTAGCGACAGAAGATGAAGGCGTTGGGGGAGACGACGAAGAAGGGCGCTTCTCCCCCCGAGCCCGGTAGGGACTGGTGCTGCTTGGCGCCCTGCACCACCACGAGCAGACATGACGGCGGCAGGCCCGCCTCGTAGTGCGCTGATGCTGATGACGACCACCCCAGCAGCTTCCTGGTACCGCCACAGGATTGCACCGCACCGAACCACACCAGCCCAGAAAGCACCAGACAGGGCAAGAAGTGAGATGCAAAGGCAGGCGGGGGGCAAGAGGGATGGCAGTGAGAGTCGTTCTGACAACGGTGCGGGCAGGGAGCAACACACACGGCACAAGCAGCAAGAGCGGGGGTGCGGAGGGGCAGCGCGTGCTCACTTGCGGAGGCCCACGTAGACGCGCTGCGCCTTGGCTCGGCGCGCAGCAGCGCAGAGCCCCAGCTCGCGGCGGTCGTTGCGCTCAATGGACGCGTTGCAGTGCACCTGGCGCGCGCGCGGGAGAGGGCAGACAGAGAGGAGGGAAGAAAGGCGAGCTTGTGATGGATGCGAGTGGACTTGTGAGACCACCTTTTACTGCAACCAAGCATGCACGCGTCAATCGCATATTCGCTATTGTTTTACTTGCCATAAGATATTTCACGCGAGCCCGTTAGCGCGTAATTCATTCTGCCTTCGTCAGAGCGGCATGAAGTGGGTTGCGGTAGCGCGTGTGTAGCCTGGCCAGGCGCGAGCACCTTTTTGGTTTTGGCGTGCGCGAGCAGCGGGCGCAGCATGACCTCGACGAGGCGGCGGCCGTGCTCCAGCGCGGTCTTCGGATCCACCTCGCTCGCCGGCAGGTCCATTCCGCCTGCCGCCATGCACGCCGCCGACGAGGCGGGAGAGGAAAGGAGGGGTGTGGGGGGAAGAAGGGGGGAAGGGGTTACCAGGGCGAGGGAGAATGGGAGGTCGATTTGGGATGAAAGGGCCGCAACACGCGCGCAGAGGCGGTGAAGTAGTGTTAGACACGCGGAGGTGACACATGTCCGCAATGAGCCCACACACAAACTACGGGGAATGCGCCAAGGAACTCGCGGCCCCGAATAAGCGGCACCTTGAGTTGGACTTCATAGATCCTTTAAACACCATCTCACGATTGACCAATCACGACCTTGTAAATCACAAAGCGACGTCGCGAACGAAGAAGGCAAGCAAAAGACTTATTCGGAAGGCCGGACGAGCAACACCGCGAATAAACGAGGGAATCGCAAGCAGAGGCGAACCTATGCGCTGCCTGCTTCGAGAGGCGAACGATCCAAGGCTAGTTTAGGGTATCTAACAGTATTGGTATGCGATGAACGTGAATCTTAACGGGCCTAGCCTGAAGCAGTCAGAATCCGTTTACACTCACGGGAACAAGGAACCTCAGTCATGACGTGGACGAGAAGGATAGAGATAGGTCCGTTTCCCCGCGACACCTCAGTTTCGAGATCCGCCATGGCGACGGAGAGCGCATCCTTGCTGACGTCCTTGTACTTGGTCACCTCCACCACCCACGTCACTTCCGACGCCGTCGGTGACATCCCAGCTACCACCGAGCTTCCAATATCACGCGCAACCCAGACGACACCACAAACACGGCCTCAACCACAACTAATATGTCGAATAAGTTAACCTGAGCGGTAGTATGTCGAGGTCATGTTAACTTTAACTAATGATACAAGCTTTCAAGACCGATATCAGCCCATCGAATGCCTTCAAATGTACACCGCAGGAGGACTCTAAAAGAGGCATGAGCCATAGTTAGCTACTTTAGGAGGTGTCTGGGCATGATGGGTTGACCTAATGCAGCCTTTCCAAAAGCCTCACAATGCTCAGGTCATGTCCATTCCATTCCATAGGCCCGACTCCGACCGACATTGTATTTGCCGTGGCATTGACCCGCTCCTCCGTGTCAAACCCTAGGCGTCTGTCATGCAGCTCGCTGAACTTAGCTCGCCGTTACAGACAAGTCTTGTCGCAGCGGAAAATTGACGACCCAATCTCACTATATCTGCATCGCGGCCATTCACCGTGAGTATGACCGCCAGTTTATGCGACCAGAAGCGAACTGTCGAAGAATACCGTCAGTGTAACACAATTACCGACTTTCCAAATGTAATCCACGAATGTAGTTTCGGACTTCCACGCCCGAACCAGACCAAACCCAACGGTCTCCTTTCGGGTTCCCTTCACTTTTTCGGAACATGCTGCGACTGCGGCGTCACTCGCTTGATGTGGGTGTACAGCGGTGTTTCCCTAGGTTCGCCACGTACTGTAGCGTGGTTTCGCATTTCACGCGGATTGGCGAACTTTCGTCGCTGCCAATCAGATAGCCAATTTTAACCAGGGGTACCGCCCTCGTTTTGTCGTCTACGAGGGGGACGAGGTGAAGTGAAGTGTGGGCACGGCACGGCCCTCCCTCTCCATGCACTGCCAACGAAATGGGGGGACAAAAGCAACTGTACGTTTGTTCGTCAGTGTCACCACCACTAAAGGGTCGCACAAAAGTGGCAAGGATGTTTGAAATGCTCCATTAGCTGACAGAATAGTGAAATTAAAGCACCCACACCAGACCAGAGATAGTCCACTGCCTAAGGTGATCATATTTAATGAAAAAGAGAGAGGAGCTGTAAAGACGATTATAATGTATCTGAGTGAACGCTATTAATACTTTTTAACCCAATCGAGGCAAAAGATGACATTTTCCTTCTCCCAGACGTGTGTGGTGTACAAGACCTTATGGGAAGGGAGGAGGACAGGAGGGAAGGTGAAAGAGAACCGAATCTGACGCAGAAAACCTGCACTTCCAAGCCTCCAATGCCGAGAAGCTAGCATGGTTGTTATGAGTTGTGAAAGGAAGAGTGCGCAGAACTCAATAATACGGAAGTGATTACAACGTCTGAGAACACAACGAGGCCTATGACTAATATAGCGAAGCTAGCTAGGCCGAGGTCGCGGGGTCGCGAGATGGTTGGGTGCAGGTTCGGGGTTGGGAAACCCGAAGGCGACGCGGTAGTGGCTCGGAAGGCGAGGTCGGCGGACCGAGCCTGGTTTTCCGAAAGTCGGGGTTGTACGCGTACAGTGTGACCTAGTAAGGAATCCGAAAAAATCCTTACACTACCCCCCCCCCCCTTAAGAAAGGTGGTGAATATCCGAGACACCTCGGCGGGCCAGGTAAGCATCCACAACCGGATGTCCTAGTAGCGAGTCAGCGGCGACATACGTGTCGTCCTCGCTCGTGCGTTCTTTCCAGCGAAGCAGGAATTTCACTGAGTGGCCGGTGGCAGTCACGTCCACGCGATGGTTGAGAATCTTCCAAGGTTCCAGCGTGGGCTCTGCCACGGGGCGTGTGGTCGTCGTGATGGTTGGCCGAGCAACAGCTGGCGACTGCGGCTGTTCGTAATGACGCAGCAGGCTGACGTGGAATGCGTCATGTATTTTCCAGTCGTCGGGCAGCAGCAGCTTCGCGGTGACAGGTGTCACCATCTGGATGATACGAAATGGTCCCACGTATCGGGGCCGTAGTTTCGCGGGCTGCGGCAGCCTGAGATTCTTGGTGTCCAGGAGCACAACCTGCCCTGCGCGGAAGGGTAAATTCCGTCGATGTTTATCCGCCTGGCGACTGGCCGTGGTATTAGCCCTACGAATGAAATCAGCTGCTTTCGTGCGGGCGGTCTGCAGCTCCGTGACAAACTGCTGCGATCTTGGTACCGGGTTTTCCACAGTCGTTGAAGAGGGTACCACGGGGTCTATCCCGTAATTCAGGAAGAAGGGTGATTGTTTAGTCGTGGCCGACGGGGCGTTGTTGTATGCGAATTCCAGCATCGGCAGTGAATCCTCCCATTTGCGAATGTCGGGGCAGTTGGTGCGAATCAGTTGCTCCATGGTCTGATTTGTCCGTTCCGTCTGTCCGTCGGTTTGCGGGTGGTATGACGACGAAAACTGCAGGCGGGTACCGTACTGTGCCCACGTCTCCTGCCAGAACTTCGATGTAAATTTCGGGTCACGATCGCTGATGATCGCCGAAGGTAACCCGTGTAAGCGTACGACGGTGGAGATGAACAGTTTGGCTGTATCTTCGGCTGTGATCGTCGTTCGGCATGGGGCGAAATGTGCCATTTTCGTTAGGCGTGTGAAGATTTAGAACGAGAATGGTGAACTAGGAAATGAGCTGGGTACAAATATGAAACCCTAGAAAGCTGTACCCCATACTGTCTACCCCACTACAGCCTAGAAAGACTATAGCATATAAGTTCGACACACCCCCATAGGCAAAGTGGGGGAGAACAAGGGGTCACAAGACCAGTCAAGCAAAGCACAACAAGCTCAGGGTGGATCCCAACGTCACCACACATTCTGAGCGCAAGTTCAAGGGCCACAAGGCCAGTTCACATGCAAGCATATATATATATAAAGCTAAACATGCAAGTGCAAGTATATATAGGTCACAGTACAAGCAAGGTCAAGAAGTGAGCAAGTGAGGCAAAGTAGGTACAAGACCTAACAGAGTACAGAAGCGCTGATGATCACAAGGCGCGAGTGCCTTGGTGAAGATATCAGCAGTGTTGGCCTGAGAGGTCACGTAAGCAAGTTGCAGCTGACCACGCTGCTGCAGCTCACGAGCAAGGAAGTAGCGAAGAGCAATGTGCTTCGTTCTGTGCTCCAGTCTGTGCTCCCGACACAAGGCCAGCATGGCCTTGTTGTCTACGTACAGAACTGGAGGCGAACGAGGCTGCTCTCCAAGGACAGTCAGCAGGTAGGTGAGCCAGCGTAACTCCTGTGCAGCCATGGCCCCCGCGTAGATCTCAGCCTCACAACTGGAGCCGAGAACAGAAGACGAGCGGGTAGACCGCCACGAAACAGAGCCGGAACCAAGGCTGAAGGTGTAACCCTGTGACGACCGCTGCGTAGCCTGGCCGTCAGCCCAAGAAGCGTCTGCGTGACCAGTGAGGACCACTGGACTCCACCCTCCAAGCACAAGCCCCATGCCCGACGTACTGCACAAGTAGCGCAACACCCTCTTCGCTGCAGCCATGTGCTCTGGTCTGTGTCTCCCAGGAGCAACATAGCGTGCCAGAATGCTAAGAGGGTATGCAAGGTCAGGTCGAGTGCAGGTCATCAGGTACATGAGGCAGCCAACAAGCTCTAGGTACGGGCCACTCGACTCTACGGACTCATCTGAAGGCAGAGCTGAGAGCGAGTGGCGAGTAGACAGAGGAGTGGCCTGAGGCGAGGAGTACGTGAAGCCGAAGCGCTGAAGGACCTGCTGCACCATGTGTGACTGAGTCAGGGTAATGGTGCGCTGTGCTCTGTCCCGGGTGATCTGCAAGCCAAGGTAGCTGTGCAGTTCACCCAGGTCTGTGCACGTGTGTCTCTTCTGCAGCTCGGACTTCACGTGGGCGAGTCCAGCAGTGTCAGCTGTGGCAAAGACCAAGTCGTCGACGTACACGAGGATGTAGAACGGCGGCAAAGAGGTGTCGGTGCGCAGAAACAGCGACGGGTCGGCAGTAGACGGAGCAAAACCAAGAGCCGCAAGTGTAGTCCTCAGTGTGTTGTGCCAGTCACGAGGTGCCTGGCGGAGACCGTAGACTGGCCGCCGGAGGCTCCACTGGGTGCCAGGAGGAAAAGACCCAGTGAAGCCAGGTGGGCGGCGCAGCCAGATCTCCTCGTGCAGGCTGCCCTGCAAGAAAGCAGTGCTGAAGTCAAGAGAGTGAAGCTCGTAGTCACGGTGAGCGGCTATGTGCAGTAGTACCCGAAGAGTGGTCATCTTCGGGGTGGGAGAGAAGGTCTGAAAGTAGTCAACTTCCTGCCGCTGACTGAAGCCACGAGCCACGTAACGCGCCTTGAAGACAGGCGGAGAACCCGGCGGCCGCTTCACTCTGAAAATCCACATGCCACTGACGATGTTCGCCCCAGGAGGGGGAACCTCGTCGACGTAGGTGGCTGTGGACTTCCAGGAAGCCATCTCTGCATCCATGGCTGCCTGCCACTGAGAGGAGTAG